AAAGAGGGGATCTGTCCGGGAGATCTTTAATATGTGATGGAATGAAAGAGGGGGTTTGTCCGGGAGATCTATAATATGTGATGGAATGAAAGAGGGGGTTTGTCCGGGAGATCTATAATATGTGATGGAATGAAAGAGGGGGTTTGTCCGGGAGATCTATAATATGTGATGGAATGAAAGAGGGGCTTTGTCCGGGAGATCTATAATATGTGATGGAATGAAAGAGGGGCTTTGTCCGGGAGATCTATAATATGTGAACATTTAGTGTCTCTGCCATGCAGATAGTGACAGTGCAGTTTTTCAGTATGTTTCCCCCAAATATGAATAAAGCAGATTTGTAATTAAAAACTAAACAGATATTATTTCCCATTTGCACAAGCATGAGTACAGGTACATCGGTATGCTACTTTTTGCATATCCCGTCTTACTCTCCTTTGAGACAAACACACACATACAGGGAGGCGAGAGCATAGCTTGGGATCAGAGTGCAGGGTCAGGGCATTTATTGGGGCCCCTAAGAACCTTTCCCAATGGGCCAACAGGGATGTGACTATTCTGCTGAGACTAGGGCTCAAACCGACAACCATCCGATCACAGGCACAGAGGCCTAAGCCATCGATATAAGATAAGATAAGATGTTGATTCCAGGGGGAAATTCTGGTGCATGCAGCAGCAAGGTATATACGGTGCACAGATAAAAACATATAGACAAAGGTCACAGACATAAAACACAGTATGAACCGGGGGCATGGCTGTGGGTGCCTTTGGACTACGCAGTGCAGATTTATTGCATAACATCCCTTGGGTTTGCTGCTTGATACTTTACGCGGTCGCTGTGTGCGAAGCTGTTTTCATTGCCCCTAGATCTGCTATGGGTGCTTGTTCAGATTCTGAATATATTGTCTAGTAGTAACTGAACATAGGGGATTGGTTTGATTGTCATGGCTGTTGAGGGTTGTCAGTATGACGACACAGCAGGGCAACGTATAGCAGAACACTTTCTCCTCTGTACTGCACTGTAAGTGCTACTGAGCTATACTGGATTGTGTGGGCCACCAGATTTTATTCTGGTCCAACTGCTACTTCATTTCTGGCGACACCACTGGTGTGAACATATTGTAAATAAATTAAGAAAGTACACAATAGACAAATAGAATATTCTAAAACAGAAAATGAAGGAAATAAATAAGTACTGGATAACAGTGGTGAGAATGAAAGGGGCTGTGACCTAGGCAAGAAGCATTTTAAATGTAACTTGGTGTAACACTGTTTTTTATCTGTTCATTCTCCCTGCCTTGGCCCATTTCCGCCTCGCTCTTTCTGCAGAGATAGCGTCGGACGCCTGCGGGGGTGTCTGTGATGACAATGCCAAGTGAGTGCGCCTTTTCCTTCCTGCAGTGACAGGTGGAATGTCATTCTGACACTCGCCCCAAATGTCTTTTCGGAAGTTAGCACTCGAGCAATTGATGCTGCAGGAAATGATGTCAAGAATATGCCTGGACATCATCCAGTGCTTTTATTGTCATTCCTAAGCAAACATTAGCAGTATGGAAGTGGACGCAAGTCTGCATGCCCACAGAATGGGAAAACGTTTAATTTATTTCAGTCCTGCCTTTGATTTATTCAGGCACTGCACTACACTTTCTTATTTTACTTTTACCATATTTAATTACCTGCTATGAAGTATTTTTTTTTTTACTATATTTCGCTATATTCAATTACTTGTCTATATTACCATCTTTCTCTCTGTTAAGCACGTAGGATTGCTTCAGTGTATGAAATGTGCTATATAAAAATACCTGCCTTGCCTGAATGCTGCGGATATATCATGCACATACAAAAGGTCACCTGAACACTATTTTCATCTCTTTTTTGAGGGATGGGTGGTATGTAACAACCACATTAAAAGTAACCAAGCAATGCAGAGCATCTCTCTCCACCGACACTAACAGATCTTCGTCGTCTTGCAGCTGCATCACCGACGGTCCGACATTCCCTCCCACATGCTCCTGTATGGCTGGTTACCAGGGCAACGGAACCTCCTGTCAAGGTGAGCTCGAGTTATGGCCTTTGGACTTTAGGGTTAGACTAACTAGGGTTAGTGTGTGGCTCAGTGAGGGAGCCTGTGATCAGGAGGTCAGCTGACTGAGCCCCATGATCAGCAAAGCACCCACATTTACATTGGGCCCTTGAGCAGGACCCTTCATTTCTGCAAAATGTCCAGGGATGCTGGATGAATGACTGAACTGGCACCCTGACCCCAAGCTTCACTCTCACCTCTATATGTGTGTATGTGTCTTAAAAAGGAGAGCAAGGTGGTATATGTGAAAACAAACAAATGAAATGTAATGTATTACCACTGTTTTAAATTCACAACATAATGCAGGAATTTGATTTTATATCTGACTTCCATGTTCAAATTGCTACAGTGCATGCTGTCTCTTGTGCAGTGACTGGGCGCTATAATTCTCTTCAGAACAGCAGTTTAGTCAGGGCAGGCAATGGCAGCTGTGTGTAAGAGCAGTTGCTCTAAGGCGGTGGCCTCTGGATGCGTACTTGTCACACACAGAGATTGACCCCTGTGTGGAGAGCAACGGCGGATGCTCGGCACATGCAAGCTGCGTGAAGACCCTGCCAGGGGAGCGGACCTGCAGCTGCCTGGATGGCTACAAAGGGGACGGGGTCGTGTGTCTGGGTGAGTAACCAGAGAGCAGGGTCATAGCCCGGGGCTTCAGGACTGCTAAAGTTTGCCTGTTTGGAGGCAACAGATCCCACCGTTGCTCAGTTGAAGCATTCTGGGGGTTGTTTGGCTTAGTGGGTTGCGAGTCTGTCCCTGTGATCTGAATGTTGTGAGTTTAAATAAAGTAATTTCACCACTAGGCCCTTGAGCAAGGCCTTTAACCACCAATTACTCCATGGACTGTCTGGTCCCACTTTTAATTGTTCATCACTTTAGATAAAAGTGTCTGCTAAACAAATAAATCATATTTAACAAACCTGCAGACCGGTACTGCTTTAGTACAGTGTTCCCCCGACCCAGTCCTTGGGGACACACAGTCAACATTATTAATGCCTCTTCCAAGAAAAAGTATCCTACAGGTAATTAAGGCAGAGCTTGCCAGAGACTCTGAGCATTTGATAAAGAGTCACAATTATGGATTCGCTATTTCTGTGCCGGCCCACAGAAATTGACGGCTGTCTGGAGAACAATGGGGGTTGTCACACAAATGCAGACTGCCTCAAAACTGGGCCGAACCAGGTGAGCCAAGCCCATCCCCTGCTGACGGATGCTCAGATGCACAGTCATGCTCCTGTAGTGTGTCACATTTTGTCATAAATGCACCGTGTTTAAAGTGGTTATAAAAGACAGCTTTCTATATCAGTTGTGGCTCTCGGAGCAGTATGATTTCACTTAGCTCATCATTCCTTGGTTCACAGGTTGCATGTAACTGCATGACTGGTTATTCTGGAGATGGACACCAGTGTGAGCCAATAAACGAATGCAAGATGGTAAACAATTCATTTTATATTACATTTTAGGTGCCCCGGCTCAGCTGCCCCCCCCCCCCCCATTACTACACAATACCTCATTGTTGTAAATAACTCTTTTATAAATAACTCCTTATTGTGTTGTACTGTATATATTGTATTTATTCTTACATTCCTTGCACTAACATGCACATTTATTAGCACATTCATGCACTGATTGTGTCGGCCAACTATTGGCCATCGGCCAATGGTTAAAGATTAGTTAAAAATGTCTGCTGTGAGGAAATATGTTAATGTTAGTGAAAACAACGTTAGAAATGTATTGCTCTGCTAAAATTTTGCGAAGAGGATCTCCTAGCAAACATTTCAACACAACAAATTTGATTGCACACCTGTGAAGAGTATGAGGAGTTTCTGACAACTAAATCCGTTCCGATAAAGAAGGCTGCAGTACTGCCGAATAATGTTAGTCCATCAGAAATACAGGCATTTGATAGCGAAAGAAGTACATAGTACGAAATCAAAAGGTATCACTCAGAAAATTACGGGGTTTATCATACTTGATGATCAGCCCTTCTCTGTTATAAATGTTATAAATGTAACATTTACACTGGGAATGACCAATTAGTTGGTGATTTCTTACCAAAAATAAATAACTTTTTCATATTTTGGAATGTAATTTTTTTATTTTTAAATTTATTTAGGTGGAGTGTCCCTTTAACCTTATTTGTTCAGAATCTCCCAAACAATCAATATCGGTATCAGTGTCAGTTTTAATTTCAAAATAATTGGCTATCTGTATCGGCCAAAAATTTCCTTACTGGTGCATCACTAGGCTGTATACAATACCAGTCAAATGTCTGGACATATCTACTGAAAATCATTTGTTTTTCAACTAGATAATGACCATAAGCATACCTCAAGGTTATGTAGTAAGCATTATTTTGTGATGAAGGAAAGAGACGAAGTGCTGCAACAGAAGACCTGGCCCCTACAATCCCCCATCCTAAACTCCATAGAGTTGGTTTAGGATGAGTTGCATTGAAGAGTAAGAGCAAGTTAGCCAACTTGTGTCCAGAACTCGTGTAAATTTCTTCAAGACTTTTGGAGAAGCATTCCAGATGGCTACATCTGGAAGCTGGTTGAAAGAATGCTAAGAGTCGGCAATGCTGTCTTCGGATGAAAGGGTCTAGACCAGGGGTGCTCAACTCCAGTCCTGGGGGGGCGGAGCCCTGTGTAGCTTAGTTCTTTCCCTGTTCCACCATAAATGATTCAGCTCAAGAGCTGTGTGGTAATTAGCACAATGAGTTGAATCAGGTGGGTTAAATGAGGGGAAACCCAAATATGTGCAGGGCTCTGGCCCCCCAGGACTGGAGTTGGGCACCCCTGGTCTAGAATTTGGGAAAATGTTGAGGTGTTGAACACTTCTCTTGGTTGTTGCAATGCTTCATATGTACTTTTACTATAAGTTTTGCTATAAGCTAAACTAATAGCTAAACTAGGGACAGGACAGATGCAGGACAGAGATTTGACTGGTACTGTATTTCAACGGACTGCATCTAACCATTGTCTTGCTAACCTGCGTCTATGGCTGCTGTCTGTATGAGACAAATTCCTTGCGTGTGTCAACATACTCGGCCAGAAAACCTGATTCTGATTTCTGGTGCACAGACGATGACTAGTATACTCAAAAGGGAAACTGTCGAGTCCAGGCCAGATGCCCCTAAAAGCAGAGCATGGTCAGTCAGAACATCAGAATCCGGCCAAACTGAGAGAGCAGTTAGGACACATTAACAGGAGCTGGTTCCTGGAGAACGGGCCCAGCTCTGGGTGGAGGGCTGTAGATGTCCCTCGGACACTAGTAGATTTTGGAAATTTACCAAACCCAGGACAGGACTTGAGAGTATGGAGAGTATGTCAACGAGCGCCACCATCATGTTGCTGCTTCTTGGTGGGCAAGGAGGCACCTTGAGCACCAAACCAGACGCCTGAAGAACCGGAACAAGTAAAACTATGACAGAGAAGTAAAACTCACTAGATGTATCTCCTCCTTGCTCTCACTCCCCCAGAACAATGGTGGCTGCAGCCCAAATGCCGGCTGCACATACACCGGACCCGGTGAGAGGGCATGCGCCTGCCAGAGAGGCTTCGTAGGTGACGGCCTGACCTGCAGAGGCTCCCTCATCTACGTGAGTCGTCTATCCCCCCCCCCCCCCCCCCCCCCCCCCCCCCCCCCCCCCCCCCCCCCCCCCCCCCCCCCCCCCCCCCCCCCCCCCCCCCCTCCCTCGGTGCCTCCAAGGGCACATTTGACCAGTGGGAGGTTTGTTCTCACAGTATCTCATCTCAGAGCATTTTGGTGGTGTGCAGCTCAGCAGGTATGGCTGTGATCAGACGGCTTCCAGGTCGAATCCCAGCGCTGGCAGTCTGATGTAGTGATGTCACAATACCAAAAATCATGACTTTGATATGATACCTGCATAAAATAATCCAATACCAATACTGAAACGATCCCACAGCGAAAAACTATAACATCAAGAAAATGAATGGATAAATAGATGATAGGGCACGGAACTTAAAATTATTTGCTTCGTATTAATTAAATAACATATTTTGTCAATATCATTATAATAGAATAAAATATAGCCTATTTTGTCATAGGCGCAGAGCTACACTGAACATGTTTTAACTAAACTAAAATTATTCAGTTGTAGCTGCTCAGCTATACAGCCATTGAACATGCTTTAATACATTTATAACCCTGATAATTGGATTATTGTAAATCATTAGATCAAGGTCATGGTGTTTAATGATATTTGTACTTGCACTTGCTGCCATGGGTCTCTTGTAATGGTGTGACGTTTGAGAATGATTAGTTTGCGAGAACAAGTCCCTTACAGGAACTATATACTCACAATCACTTCCCTGCAAAGATTCGTTCTATTCGTTCTTCCGCTTTTCCTCAGAAATATGATGGGAATACTGATTCCCTCTTCAACTATAGCCAGTTAGGGTCAGTGAGGCATCTAAGGGCGTGGTGTAAGCGAGCATATAATCGGCTGGAAACTAAAACTGGGACCGAAAGTATATGCCAACGGTGAACGAATGACTGAACTGGTTAGTGAGTCGATGAACGAGACAGTTTCTCCACTTCTTTGGGTCTATCGTTGTCGTTATGAACGAGATACCTGAAGGAATGAATGAGTTGGTGAGCAAGTCGGTGAACAAGAGACTCAGATAGGTTCCTGAACGAGAGAGTTGTACCTCGGTCGTGACTGAAATACACCATCTACTGGTGTAGTATATAGCCTACATGTGCAGTGACTTTTTATATGCTGCAACTGGATTTTAGAGATTTTCACGATTTCAAATGATTTAACTAAGGTTTAGTGTTAGTGTCTGCACTCGTTAGCTGACTATTTGATGAGCTGTTTGTGTGTTTGTGTTTTTAACAAATGTGAGTAGCTAAGGTACAGTGTTGAGAGTACAATTCAATAACAAATATTATTTTTCTCACATGATTTATTGGTGGTATTTAGCTTACTCCTTAGCACTATTTAACCTAAATAATGGGCTATTTTGACATACTAGAACACAAGTGTTTCAGATTTGGCAAAGAGGAAGTGCTTTTTGTTTACCACGAGGTGGTAAACAAATCAGAACGAATCTTTTAGGTGAACTGAATAAAACTAACTGTGTCCCAATAAAGAGTCATTTCGCCCATCGATACTCGCCTGTCTGTGAAAGTTGCAGGGTGAGAGAAAAAAAATGGTTGGCAGGGAGAGAGAGAGGAAGCAGAGCTGCTGCTGAGCTGATGCAACTCACAGGGATACTCTTAAGTACAGATACTAATAAAACGGAAAATAGTGTTGTTTTTGATGTCGGTGGGTACTACGGTACTTTTTCAGTGTCATATACTGTGCAACACTAGACTGATGCCGCTGTTGGGCCCTTGAACAAAGCCCGTAACCCCCTCCCCATGTCTATCTTGTATCCTCTCAGGAGGTCCGACGTCACCCCCAAGCCTCCTGGTTGAACAAAAGGCTGGAGGTAAGAGTGACAATACTCAGCTCCAAGCCAAACCGTGACTCACTCTATACAGAAGTTACTCAGTTTACTCAAGAATATACTTATTTATTCATTCTTATTTTCACAGGATATGAGGATTGGCGATTTAAAGCAAAAAGGCCCTTTCACATTATTTGTCCCACATGTGGATTATATTCAAAACTTTACGGTATCTTCTTATTGTTTCTATACATTTTCTTGGCACATTACTCATTTAAATTGATTTTTTTTTTGTTAGAAATATACTGTTAAAAGTAAACAAGTATTTAAAATTGATTTAATCTTCCTCATTAGATTTTAAATCTAGTGTCAAAGGTCTGAGATCGTGGATCTGAACTATATGTTCATAAGTATTAACAAACAGCATTATAATTGGTTGGAAATGATGCGACTGTTACGTTAAAACGTTCGGTTCCCAAGGCATTGTGTATTGGCAGGTCGAGCCCTGGATAAACAGTAGTAACCTTGACGACCTATTGAGGTACCATATGATTGGCTGTAAGCAGCTTCTCCAGTCCGACCTCCAGTCTGCGAGTGAGGTGGTCACGCTTTCTGGATATCGACTACGCATCAGTGTCCGAGAGGTGCTCTTTCTGTCCCCTCCGAATCAATATGAGCATCGTTATGGATCCATAAGAAAAATGACATTTTACATTGAAAATTTAATGGACTCTCTCATTTGAACTTAGGGCTCCTTGTACATAAATGAGGACACGAAAATAGTGAACAGCGACTACATCACCACCACTGGGGTTCTACATTTCATCGACAAGGTTCTCACCCCATATGACATCGGGAACAAAAGCAGAGGCCTACCTGAGACAGTACGTTGAGTACAGCATGTCACGGCGATGTCTATGCCACTACAAATACAGGCAAAACGCTGGTGACGAACCTGCGGGGTTGTTTACATTTCAGCTGAATGTCACGGCGGCAGCAGAGGCCTATGGTTACACCGTATTCGGCAGGCTCCTCCAGGTGCGCCCCCCCCTCCGTGTCACCGTCTCATTCCCGTGTCCGCCCATCAGCCAGAATGTTTGCTGTTCGCAGATTTACTTAGCGCTAAGCTGTATAAAGCAGGCCTGGCTGGTAGACGTGCTGTAACTCAACAGGGGTGAGAAAACAGATAAAACATGAATAGAACATTCCAGAATTAGACTAGACTAGGGAGTGGCATAGCAGGGCTGTGGGTAGCACTGTTGCCTCACACCTCTGGGACCAGGGTTCTGACCCAGCTCCGTGTGCCTGGAGTTCTCCACGTTCTGCATGTTCTCCATGTGTCATTGTGGGGTTTCCTCTGGATTCCCCAGTTCCCCCCCCCCCCCCCCACAGTCCAAAAACATGCTGAGGTTTACTGCAGTTACTAAATTGTCCTTAGAGATCATTGTGTGTGTGATTGCTGCGACGGTTTAGCGCCCCCTCCTGGGTTATTCCCTGCCTTGCACCCATTATTTCCAGGATAGGGTCTGGACCTCCAGAGGATCATCACATTGGCCTCGTTAACACTTAATCAAAGGAAAGGCCCCCATGTGTGTTTCAAGGCGACGCCCTTTGGCGGTTAACCCCGCTTGTGTGTGATGACAGGAGGCCGACCTGACCGCCATGGTGCAGAACTCTTGGCACCATCCCTTCACCATGCTATGGCCGAGGGATGCCGCCTTCAGCGCCCTGCCGGAAGAGAGGAGGAGGTGGCTGTTCAGTGAGGAACATCACGACAAGCTGGTGGCGACCGTCAAAGCGCACATCATCCGCGGAGCAAAGGTAGCTACAAATAAATACATTTATTAATCTTGAAGGAGATCACAGGTTTACAGTAGCACAACTCACAGACAGCAAAAAGGGCATTTAGACATTAATAGTAAAAATAAAATAATAAACGACAATAAACAGTAACAGTGCTAAGACTGTTAGAAAGTATTGTGTGGTAAATAAGAAGTATTGCAGTAAATAAACAGTATTCCAAGTTGGGTTAGCAGTACCTTCTGTGACTTGTTTTAATCCACTTATCACCATTTTTTTTCAAACTATAAGTAACACTTTAAATGCAGTGAAAAATGTGAAAAATGCTTTGTTAACATTCCCAGCTCCCGGCTGCATCTTTGCCCATGAAAGGCTCTTTAAGAACAATTTTTGGCTCGACTATCTCATTCAGCTGTGACAGAAGAACAGTCGTGAGTATTATCAGGGATGGGTCTGCTGTCTCAGGGGCCCCACTCAGAACATCACATTCAGGGCTCCCATCTCCCCTCAGATGTCTCAAAAACTGGGTCTGGACCCAGCTGATTATGAGACCTTGGTGTGTATGTTGATGCTTCCATGTCTCATTCTCGCCAGTGCGGGGAAGCAATAAAAAAGGCCAATAGGATGTTGGGGTATATCTCCAGGTGTGTGGAGTTTAAGTCAAGGGAGGTAATGCTAAGATTATACAATTCCTTGGTGAGACCTCACCTAGAATATTGTGTACAGGTTTGGTCACCATATCTTAAAAAGGACATAGCGGCCTTAGAAAAGGTGCAGCGTAGGGCCACAAGAATGATTCCTGGTCTTAGAGGAATGTCATACGAGGAAAGGTTATTTGAGCTAAATCTGTTCAGCCTCAAGCAAAGGAGACTGAGGGGGGACATGATCCAGGTCTATAAGATTCTAACAGGTTTGGATGCTGTTCAACCGAATAGTTACTTCAGCATTAGTTCAAATACAAGCCATAGGTGGAAATTAGCGGGAGAACATTTCAAACTGGATTTAAGGAAGCACTTCTTCACACAGCGTGTAGTCAGAGTATGGAATAGTCTTCCTGATAACGTAGTGCAAGCTGAATCCTTGGGTTCCTTTAAATCAGAGCTAGATAAGATTTTAACAACTCTGAGCTATTAGTTAAGTTCTCCCCAAGCGAGCTCGATGGGCCGAATGGCCTCCTCTCGTTTGTATAGTTCTTATGTTCTTATGTAACTAAATAAATAGCTTACGAGTCAAAAGATGGTAGCTAGCTGGTTTGCAGAACATGCTGCTTCAGCGTCACCTAAATAAGGTGTTTAGTGTAGTGACTGTTTTTTGCGGCCAACAGGGGGCTCCAAACCTTGGGGGCCCCAAATAAATATGTGGTTTGAGTGGTGGTGAATACTGCTGCTGAATATTTTATTGTTGCTTGTTATTCTTGGCTGCTGCTGTGAAAGACCTGGAGTCTGGCGTGACGAAGTGTGGAACGATGTGGATCATATGACACTTGGTTATTTTTCTGAAATCTGAAAATAAAAAATTCATATGTATATAATTTTTGTTTACCTCAAGTGCTCTGTCTGTCAGGGGGATATTTTGGTAGATGACGGAAATGCCAGAGTCATAGAGCGCCACCTGGACTTCAACGTGGGAATCGCACATGGCATTGACCAGCTTCTGGAGCCGCCTGGTCTTGGAGCTCGCTGTGATACTTTTAAAGAGAAAAAGATTAACGTGAGTCTGTGCTCAGGCTTACATTTTTAGATCTAAAAGTGATCTAAAAGTTTCTGACTTTAAACAACATAAAATGTCCTGTCTTCTTAGGGTCTATGTTGGATGTGCTGGACACGTCCCAGATGTCCATTCGGATATAGATTTACTGTGAGCTTCCGGCATGTTTAAATGAATAAACTATGTTCTAATTATTATACTGTTTTGCATATAGCCTGAATGTTTCTTTGTGAACCTGATTCCTGCAATATCTTTTCAGGGTGAAACCAAGCCATGCTCTATAGACAGGATTAGCATGAAACGCCGGCCTTCTCATGAGGACTTCTTTAGGGCATGGAGATGCCAGCCTGTCTGTGTTAAAGTGCAGTGGGTCCCTCAGTGCTGCCAAAACCACTATGGCAGAGACTGTCAAGGTGAGCTGCTTGACTGTGCTAGTGTCCAGAAGGTTGTGAGTTCGATTCCCATAGCCAGCAGAGTAATCGTATTACCACTGGGCCTGTGAGCGAAAAGGAAGTGATGTGTGGTTGTTCCAAGCCTGTGATTAGAGGGTTGCTGGTTCAGATCCCATGGCCGTTAAGAGTCCTTGAGCAAGGCCCATAACCCCAACTACTTCAGGGACTGGGTGACCCCAAGCTTTCCTCACTTGTGCATCACTTACATTTTAGGAAGCTGTACATTTCAGTTAAAAAGCAGATTTTAACTTGAATTATTATAATATAAATTTAAATCAGTGCGTATGCATGAGTGTGTGATGTAGTTCTAATATATTATATGCTGATAAAGGTTTTCAGCGGTGAAAGCTATGCTAGAGAGGTATTTGGCGACTGTGCAGTGAGAGCGTGCTGTGTGTTGCAGTGTGTCCAGGGGGCCTGGAGGCACCGTGCAGTAACCATGGAGTGTGCAGTGACCGCATGCAAGGCCAGGGGACCTGTGTGTGCCACGCCGGCTTCACGGGAACTGCCTGCGAGCGCTGCCGGCCGAACTATCACGGCGCCAACTGCACGCGTGTGTTTTAACACCATAGCACTAAATCTAACACCGAGTAGCTACTTATAGTCGGAAGGCTGTAGGTTCAAATATAGTCCCTACTGCTATATCCTTGAGAAAGTGCTCAGCCTATATTGCGTCAGTAAAAAAATCCTGCTCACTGACCCCATAACTCGCTCTCACCTCTTTTACATGCGTGTCTCATTCTGGCTGAACGAATCTGAGATTGTTTTTCGGGCTTCCAGAGTGCATGTGTTCCCCTAACGGCACATGTGAGGATGGCATGGAGGGCGACGGCAGCTGTTTCTGTCAGGAGGGATGGACGGGAGCCCGGTGTGAGGCAAAATTAGGTGAGACACACATACACCCACACATACACACATACCCACACATACACACATACACCCACATACACCCACACACATACACCCACACATACACACATACACCCACACACATACACCCACACACACACATACCCACACATACACACATACACCCACATACACCCACACATACACACACACATACACCCACCCACACACACACACACACACCCACACACGCCGTGCTGCTTATCAGGCACAGCAGAAAGAAATCGGAGTGAATCACACCACATATAACAGCCAGCATTCGTGTGACCAGTGGCGTGTTTATTATTCAAACCATGCATTTGCATGGGGGCCCCATGGTTTGGGGGCTGCCTGTTGCCCCAGACTGTCATTACACTAAATATTAAATAAATGAGGTAGCACTTCTTTGCACAGCGTGTAGTTAGAGTATGGCATAATCTTCCTGCTACTGTAGTGTAAGCTAAAACCTTGGGTTCCTTTAAATCACAGCTAGATAAGATTTTAACAACTCTGAGCTATTAGTTGAGTTCTCCCCAAACGAGATTGATGGGCTGAAAGGCCTCCTCTTGTTTGTAAATTTCTTATGTTCTTATTTAGGTGATGCTGAAGCAGCATGTTCTACTAACCAACTAGCTACCATCTTCTGACTCTACTCACTAGCTATTTATTTAGTTTTTGAAATATTTCGGGGGGGGAAACAGAAACAATAAACCCGGCCCTGCATGTGGCATGGATTTTTTGTTTTAAAGTGTCCTGTCAGTGTGATTTCTTGATTTCGCGACAGAAACGGAGCCACTCTGCAGCCCCCCGTGTCACGCTAATGCCGTCTGCCAAGACGGCAACACGTGCGAGTGCGATCCGTCATACGAGGGCGACGGCTGGAACTGCACAGGTGACCAGCCGCTTCATCTCCGGGCCTCCAAGTCTGTCGGTCCCCATTAGCGCGTTAGCAGCGGCCCTAACCCTAACCGTCTCCCCAGCTCCTGATCTCTGCGGCGACGATAACGGAGGCTGCCACGAGCACGCGAGCTGCTCCCAGACCGGCGTAAACGTCACCTGCCTTTGCGAGGCTGGTTACACAGGGGACGGCTACGCCTGCTCGCCCATCAACAGGTGCATGGAGGAACCAAACGGGGGATGCAGCGATTTTGCCACCTGTTTGTATGCGGGGCCCGTAAGTAGCTAGCTTGTGCACATTTTTAATTATTCACCTAGTCAGTGTTAAGGTATCTTTCACTGTCTATTTCAGACAAATGATGCAATTCAGTCATACACTGAAAGGAAATATCATTCTCTCCCTGTCCCAAATTAATGCCTTCATTACAAAAAAAAACAGCTACTTGCCGATTTTTATGCCAGAAACTTTGATGACTCTTGTCAGAAAAAGAGGGTGTGCCAGTGTCACCCGGGCTACGTGGGAGATGGGATCCAGTGTCTTCAGAAGGTGGTCCCCCCTGTTAGCCGTTGCTTAGAGGACAATGGCGGCTGTGACCCAAAGGCTGATTGCAAGGACTTGCATTTTCACGGTGAGATTTCTGTACCTTTTTTTAGCATAAGATAAGATTCTTCATTGTCACTGCACATAGAGCAGGGAAATGTCATTCATCAGTCGACCGGCCAGCAGTACAGCATATACGATGTTCATAGACCAGGTTTATAAAGAAACACACACGGACAGACACAGTACACAAAGAAGTATGGGGCCAGAAATACAACAAGAACAGTTCAGTAACTGTTAATATGCTTCAAGCTGCTGCCACCGTGATTTGGAAACTCCTGCTTGAAATGCTTCCCTAACAAATCCCAGGTGTGAAGCTTTGCTCTGATTGTCTCTCAGGAAACACAGCTGGAGTGTTTCACCTGAGATCACCACTGGGGGCGTACAAGCTGAACTACACGGAGGCTCAAGCTGCCTGCCGGGCTGAACAGGCCTCTCTGGCCACCTTCTCCCAGCTCTCAGACGCCCAGCAGGTCCATCCGGCAGCCAGTTCATCCACCGCTCATCATTAACATTAAACACTTACTGGTTATCGATGAATCAATCCAGACAGTAGAGAAATGATGCAAAGCTCCTCATCATTTCCTGCTGCTTTTGGTTGCTCCTCTGAGATACATCACCACCAATCTGCTCCCTTTTTTAAACAGTGAATCAGTTACCATTCTATAAGACACTTTAAAGGCTAATTGCAACCATGGCAACAACCCTAGTACCTTATTTATACTCTCCCAGTCTCGGCAGATGAATGCAAGTACATTAACATTTATTTCTATTTAGCAGCAAAGAACAAGTGAGGCAAATAGCACAATACCACAAACATACAGTAGGTGCTGTCAAGGAGTCGACTAGACTTAAGTGCATCTAGGCTGAGCTTCCAGTGAATGCCCAGGTATAACTGTAGCAGTATCAAAGTATGAACTACACTGCATCTTCCAAACAAAGCAAGACTGCTATTCAAATCAGCAGAAATTGCAGCATTAAGAACATTTGGGGAACGTGAAGCAGTATCAGGCTATTCCTGGAGCAGAAGGCTCTTGGAGGTAATGAGGGGGTTAACTGGCAGCTGGAATGCTAACCATGATCTGACTTATAACGACCAGCCTGCACACTGACTGATTGAGCAACAAGAAAAGGCCTGGGTCCACATTTGCTCTATAAAAGAAAAGTGTGTCTTACTTATAAAGATGACACTATAACCATATCTTGTGCCATCTGTCTGCAGCTTGGAATGCACCTCTGCGTGGCAGGATGGATCGAAGGGCAACAAGCCGGCTACCCCACCAGATTTCCATCACCCAAATGCGGAAACAATCACGTTGGTGTCGTGATGTACAAGAGTCCCGTGGCTCTGAACAGCACATATGATGCTTACTGCTACAGAATTCAAGGTAGGCAGGAAGACATTTCACCAAACTCCCCACATTTTCAGAGTCACTAATCGGCCTTTGGTTTTTCGTAGATGTCACTTGTGATTGTGGACCTGGATACATCGGTGACGGCCTCTTCTGCCATGGACACCTGGCAAGCGTTGTGGCAACCAACGACAATTTCTCTGTGTTTTACTCTGTGAGTGTGTCACCTCCAGTATTTACAGTGCAAAGGTGCAGTGAAGAGTTCTGACTTCCCCCTTAATTCTCTCTTTCCAGATTCTGCTAAATTATGCCAACTCCTCCCCGGCAGCAGCGGCACTCTTGAATTTATTGTCGTCTCACTCAACAAACATCACGCTATTCATCCCACAAAACGCTGGGTTCCACGTGAATCAGGTGATGTTTCGTTTTGCTCAAGCTTATTGCAAATGATGGCTGGGGGAGGGTAAATCAAGAAATATTTCCAATGGGGATTTAATTTATTTCCAGACTTTGTCATGGAGAGATCTGGAATACCACATCTCTGCTAACAATGGCGCCCACTTCTATGATGATTTAGAGCATGGAATGCTGGTCCCTTCCCAGTTAGGTTACAATCTTTCAGTTGCTGTATCATCACCAAACAGAACCCTGGACTCTGTAAGTGGACGTGGAAGTTTATTATATTTTCTATATTACACACACACACATAAAACAGATTTTCCCCATTAACCATCTATTCAACTTCCATCTTTTTCCCAGTCACATGGCTGGTTTTTACTGAAGCGATTCCACACCAAATCTGGAATAGCATAGCATCAGCAGAAATTTTGCATGTTCGCCACATTAAAATGACATGTGATAACGCTTAAACTGTAATAATACCTATTCGCACAGGCCGCCCAACTTCCCGAGAAACATGTGAATGACAGGCTGATTGTAGACTGGGATATTCCAGCAACCAATGGGATTATCCATGTTCTTGAGGGGCCACTGAAAGCTCCACCTCCACCAGTAAGAACCCATGATTCACCCAACAACCTCCTCTCTTTTCCTGAGTTACTATACATAATACAGCTTGGTGCAATAATAAGAAACAGTACACAAAGAGAGTTATATACAATTTATCAGTAGTGATTACACATTCGAGAGCTACTGGATAGATTTAAAACACCTTCTAGTCACTAACCTTCACTATCCTCATAGTTTCTCCACTATAAACATACATTTATATAAGTAGTGTAGAGCACAGGGTTTGTTTTAGTTACAGAGAATCCCGGAATATGGAATTCTGAGATGAGGCCCTGCTAGCTTATCGACGCTGAGAGCTGTGTCATCACTTGGTATTTCTTTGTCTAGGTCCTGCCTGCAGAGAGCCCAAGCAATGCTATGTCACATTCCCATGCCGGGACTGTCATTAATGCTGTCCTCGCTGCAGCTGTGCTCGCTGCCTTCGGAGGCCTTGTGTATTACTTATACAAGAGAAAGAATACTGGCTTCCATTTTCGTCATTTTCAGGTTACCATCACTGCCTTAATACCTCTTTCTGTGGTTTGAGTTTTCTTAACTCTGAGTTTCCTTTTTTGGGTTACCTCAAAAATAGCACACTGGTCATATAGATTTCTTGCAAAACTTGACTTGTACTCCTTTGATGGTGTTGGGTTTCCCAAAAAAAAGGCTGCTTTTGGTACAGTCTGTAACCATGTGATTATGTGGCTCCCATAACAGAATGAGGAAGACCAGGGTGGCCCCAGCAGTACAGAGGCAAAGCCGACATTAGTATCCATTCCAAACCCTCTATACAGTGGCTCCATGGCCTTTGCAGAACCTTTTGGTGTGAGTGTAATCACATTTTTCTAGGACAGATATTAACAGCTATGACTGTTTCTCAGTAACAGTTTAGGATTAAATTGTATAACGATCAATGAATCTAAGTTTTTCCACAGAAATGTGTTAATACATAAAGAAAAACGTATGCGCATAACAATATGTACATTTTTCCCTGTTTCAGGATTTTCCCAATGCTGATTCTTCAGACATCCAGCATATGTGTAACTAGGTCAGACCTTTAATCCTCAAAACACACAAAATTTTGTACTAAAAAAACATTTCTAAATAAATGCAACAGCTACTGTGTTTTCTTGTTTGAGTTGTTTGTATTCTGTGTAACATCGTGAAAGCCATACAAAATGGGAAAACGTGTCAACAAATTCCACTTCTAAGTAGTGGAATTACCCATGACTAAAATTTGTAGTTTTCAAAATGTACAAGGAAACAAATTTTAACTAAGGTTAAAAATGTGATACATTTTACTTAGAAAACAATGCAAAGGTCATTTAATAAGAACATCGTAAAATAAATAGATATTATTTTATAGTAGAGGTGGTAAGTTCAGGTCCAGAAAGTACAAATCTAGACCAAGGTTTTGTTTCAAAGCACCAGTTTAGCATAAAAAGAGTCACAGTCAGAGTACTCAGCTTCAAAACTACAAATTTTTGTCATAAGTAATTCCACTACTTAGGATTTGTACTTTTTGGACCCGAACTTTCCACCTCTGTTTTCTAGTTAATCGATTGCTTAAACCACAGGTGTCAGACTCCAGTCCTGGGGGGCCGGAGCCCTGCACATTTTTGGGTTTCCCCTCGTTTAACACACCTGATTCAACTTCTTGTGCTAATTACCACACAGCTCTTGAGCTGAATCATTTGTGGTGGAACAGGGAAAGAACTAAGCTACACAGGGCTCCGGCCCCCCAGGACTGCAGTTTGACACCCCTGGCTTAAACAGAGGCCTAATTAACATTTGCTTCTCGATTCACCAAACTGTACAATCCTTTATGATGGAAAATGTACAGAAAAAATATGCATAACTCATGGTTTCAAACAGAAGACTCGCCCCCCATGAAATCTTGAAAGCAAACACAACCTGGGATAAAAACTGATTTAAGTACTTGATGGAGTTTGTTAGAGGCGGGTTTATTAACAATAGCTCCACCGTCTCAACAAACAATTGTATATACGGTAAGATACGGAGTTATTTTGCACAATCCCGTTTTCTAAATACGATAAATTTATAATGACAATAATAGTACTGAGATCTGTTACCACTGGCTACGATGGGAGAAATTTTAAATCAGTTAAGTGCAGTGGGTTGAATTGTCAGTGATCGTACTTAGGGTTGAGATATATTGAATTAAGTTGTTCTGGGCACCCAAGTTCATTTGATCACAATCATTGGAACGAACAGAGAAAGCCGACTGAGTCAGCAACAGCTGTCGCAGTAATCACACCGTGACGGGTCTCTGACGGGCTTCATTTATTAACTGAATCTGGGATTGAAATCAGTCCGTCCTGTATTCTCCGCTGGTATTCCCTCTCAGACTGCTTTCTCCGGTATACATCGTCTGCGGGGGCAAATGAAGACTTTGTCAGTTTCTCTTTTCCTCAGCTATTACCACCACGTCCTTAATTTACTTCCCGTACATGATAAAGCGTATTATGTACATAAAAGCTAGAACGTTGTCTATATAAATATATAGCATTTGTTATATTAATAAGCGTGGCCGAGTCTTAAGCCGAAGCATTATAAGCAGTCAGTCCTCTACTTACAGAAGGTTTCTTTTCCAATCCTCACGTTGATCATAATCCACTCCATTACTCCTCCTAAGCAGAAAAAGAAAGGTAAAAATCTGTATGTCCCAAACCGGCGCTTGCCGGGAACTAGACTTAGGATATATTTTATCCTTTGACTGTTCCCCAGCATTTCGTTAGTGCTCTTATGGCTTGCCAGATAATTGGATGGGTTTGGTTACCCACTCGTTCATTTAAGTGTTTGTTATATATATATTCATATGAATACGTGCTATTGGACAAGGTCCAGCATGAGCCTGGCAATTAGGTGAACGTATCTCTGGTCAATACTCTGCGTTTAGAGGTTAAATTCCAGCACGCCGTCCTCTGGCATACCCAATGTGATAAAAGTCCGCGTACCGGGGAAATAGCATCGCTTTCTGATTGGCTGGATGAATACGCGTAAATTTTTCGTCACAGCGTTGTCGTGCTCTGGATGTGTTGCATCGAACTCATACCGGGTCTTTGTTAAGCTTCATCACAGTCGTTCCATAACGCTAACTAAACTATACATGCACCTTCCCCTTTTGTTTATGCCAGGATGTTCATCGGTACAGATATGCAACCATACTCAGTAGTAGACAACAAGGGATTTAGACAGGATTTAGTTCATCGTGATTGTCATGCAAAATTTTTGTTTTTATTTTAGTTATTTATTTTTACAATGTGCAAATAAGTGTCTCTTGGATATTGTTTTTCAGACACCTTGACAGGATCTTTGCCATTGAGTTACAACTGTTCGTTGTTGTGTCTCAAATTTTAATGATAATTAATTTGAAAATAAATTCTGTTCTCTGTGCTGTACTGAAACTGCAGCAAACTGCAAACCCAAAACCGAAATTTGTACCAGATTGTGAATTTTGTGCATTATTACACCCCTACAAGATGCTATTGCTGCCCCCCCCCCCAATAAATAAATAAATAAATAAAAATTGGCAACAGACAGCGGTGAACTGAATACATGTTTTGGTTTCTCTGAATTTAAACCATCTGAATGGAGGAAAAGATGGGTGAAAGATTAATCATTTGGCTGCATTACTTTTTTTGTTGCTCAGTGGACTAGGTTTTGTGTGCTTATGCCAAGTTTTGCACATGTACACTTACTGAGCACTTTATTAAGAACACTATACAGTACTAATATTCAATTGTTTACATAGCACCTTTCATAACATTTGCCCCAAGGTGCTTTACATGAGTGTGTTGTAATATGTCCTTATACCATTTATACAGAATAATTCAAAAACAGGGAAAAGGGAAGATGAAAGAAAGAGACCCAGATGACAACAGAGGACAGGAGCCAACAATTCAAAAGTATGGAGGATGTTAATGTTATAGACGAAAGAGTGGGCCTGCTTGCTAAAAGCAATGTGTAAACTGTGGTCATGATCAAAGTCCATCAATGAGTCAGTTCTCTATGCCGGTCTAAGTGGGTTAGCAGATTGAAGGCTGCATCTACGATGTCACACATCCATGGAACTGAGCCAGCACTGTAGCTCAGATGTCCCTGGTCGAATATGGAGTACCGCAGAGATCAGTTCTTGGTCCTATATTGCTTTCACTCTCTACATGCTACAAGGTAACATAATGAGAAAACAATGTTAATTATCATCCCTATGCCAGTGATACCCACATTTTGTCTAGGGGCATGTGATTTGAAGATATTAGATTGTGAACAATTAAAGTATTTCCATGATCTGCCTTTATAGGGAATTCATTGGTATCATGTTACAGTGCACATTCTGTCTGTAGCGGTTCTATGGCTCATTCATGCATCTAAATTTGTTTTGTCGGTCAAATCTTTTTTGACACACAAATAAGCTGGTAATGGAAAACAGTAGGCAAAGAATTCGACATTGGTAATATGGAACTTGTTTGGATTTTTTAAAACCCACATGGTCAAACAACAATTATTTGCAAAATTTGCAAAGATATGATTTGCACGTCAGATGGCAGCATGATGAATCTGTCATGTCCTGCCCTGCTTGATTCTGCTGTTTCTACTTGTCCTTTATTAGCCTTGCCTCTCGTTCCTGCCCTCCTGTGATTCACTCCAGCCACCTCTCCCTTGTTAATCCACTGTATATAACTTTCTCCCTGTCTTGTGATCCCCAGTTCCGTCATTGATGCTGTTTCTGTGTTGCCTGTGCCCAAACCTTCCCTCCTCTGATCCCCCAGGATCTCATTTATTTGTAAGTTCAGTTCTGTTAATAAACTTTCTTTTGTTTGCCCTGATTCCTGCTTCCAAGTCCTCAGTTCCACCCTGTGCCTTGACAACCCTTTTCACCACCTCAAAAGAAAACACTAGAAAGAGTATGCCGAGTAGGATCTTCTTTTAGGATTCAATACCTTTATAGGGCTATGTTTTTTTTTTATTGGGTAATTACTTTGGTTGTACTATTAAGTATGTTGCAAAATAATCTTAAAAATGATCATGAAAAAGAATTGTGAAATCGTGATCCTGCCTTTAAAAAAAAAGTGATGACATTTTTGTGATATTGCCCACCCCTAATTTCAGCTACAGCTAGTGACACCTGATCTATTGTCCCTTTAGCTAATTGCTTTAATGAAGTTATGACTTGGATGACTGAAAATTTTTGCCACTCAATGTAGAGAAAACTGAGGTTCTGTTCAGAAGCAAGTCCACAGAGAGGCCTGCTATAATCTCTGCACTGTGCTCTGAGGAGCTAAACTTCTCTCTCAGCTGCTCAGCCAGTAGCCTAGATGTCACCTTAGATATGAGCCCTTTGTTCAAATCGTATTTGGATGTTGTATCGATGTTGTGTTTCCTACAGCTACATAACATTGCTAAATTATGACATTTGTATACAGTAGTTTAGTCTGCTGTTGTGCTGTATTACCTGGGAGCACTCACCGCACATTAAATATTAAACAAACATATTCAAAATGCAGCAGCTTGAATTGTCACCAGGAACAGGAAGTTTGGACAAATAACCTCTGTTCTTAGTTCAATGCTCTGGCTTCCTGTTAAGCTTGGGACGGACTTCAAAGTTCTGCTACTTCCATATAAGGCACTCAAAAGTCTAGCACCTGCATACCTAACAGAACTAATTCAAGTTAATAAGCTGCATCATACACTCATATCACAGAATGCAGGCTTCCTTGTCATTCCACATATAAATAAAGTAATAACTGGCAGTTAAGCCTTCTGCTACAGGGCCCTTATGTTGTGGAACTGTTTGCCCACTCATTTTCAGGATGCTGAATTAATCTCAGTCTTCAGTTTACCTTACCAGCAATTTAACACATAACACGCTGTAACTCTGGCTGCTGGTGTTGCCGTACATGCCCTATGGGTCTACTGTGCTTGTCCATTACAGTTTTTCTCAGTCGCTTTGGTACATTTCTCGAAACATCCATAACATTTGCAAAACAGTAAGTGCATTTCACAAAACAATTCGTACAAAGAGCACCACATGATGGATTACCTTGAAAAGCCTGCAACTTTCTCAAAAACCTGAGTTCATCCATCAAAAGTGAATATTTATGTCACTGAACTTCTCAGTGCCACCAGAATGACAAATCCCCGTGTCATTGTTCATGAACAAGATGGCTAATGTTTTGATGACAAGGATGCACTTCTTCTGTATGCCAAATATAAATTTCAACAATACAAAGTTACACATACTATATACAGTGCCCTCCACAATTATTGGCACCCCTTGTGAAGATTTGTAAAAAGGGTTAGAAAAAATCTACCTTTCAGTGAAGTAGCTTCATCTCACACTGAAAACATTATGAATAAATTGATTCAAAGAAAAACAAATCCTTCAACAAGACATTATTTACAATAAAAACACATTGTCACGCCCGGCTTGTACGATCCTCCTGTGTGCCATGCCCCCCTCGTTAACCTCGTGTGAAATCCCGATGTCATCAGCTGTTTCTTGTTATTTCCAATTAGTCTTGTGTATTTCAGTTCACGTTCAAGTCTGTTTCCCCAGTCAAGTCATTAACGTTACGTGTTTGTGTGTCCTGCTTTGGATAGATTCCAAATAAACCCTGCATTCCCGATCTCTCGTCTCCCTGGTCCTCCTTCCGCGTTTCCCATCGTGACACACATGTGCCACGATTATTGGCACCCCTGCATTTAATATTTTGTACAACCTCCCTTTGCCAGTATAACAGCACTGAATCTTCTCCTATAACATTTTATAAGGTTAGAGAATACAAAGCAGGATATCTGAGATCATTCCTCTTTACAGAATCTCTCAAGATCATCCAGGGTCCTCGGCCATCTCTTGTGCACTCTCCTCTTCAGCTCGGCCCACAGGTTTTCAGTGAGGTTCAGGTCAGGGGACTAAGATGGCCATGGCAGAAGCTTGATTCTGTGATCAGCTAACCATTTTTGTATAGATTTGGACAAGTGCTTAGGATAACAGTCATGCTGGAAGATCCAAAGATGGACCAGTTTTAGTTTCCTGGCGCAGACAGTAAAATTTTGATTTAAAATGTCCTGCCATTATGTCCTTTGAGTCCATAATGCCATGTATCCTAACGAGGTTTCCAGGGCCTTTGGAGGAAAAACAGCCCCACAAGATCACAGAACCTACAACATATTTTAGTTGGGATAAGGTTCATTTCATTATAGCCATCCTTCTTTTTACACCAAACCCACCTTGAATGTTTTTTACCAAAAAGCTCAATTTTTGTTTCATCAGACCATTGAATTTTGGATCCAGTCAAAGTTGTAGTAGTCTTTCGCGAACTCCAGGTATTTACATTTCAGGTAACTGACCAAAAAAGATTTTTTTTCTGGCATACCATCCAAATAATCCGTTAGCATGAAGGTGGCGTCTGATGGTTTTTTTTGGAGACGTGGTAACCCCAAGATTTTACTTTGTCTTGTAATTCACCACCAGTGATTCTTGGGGATTTTTTGCATCTCTTACAATCTTCCTCACTGTATGTGGGGGGAAAATAAACTTGGGTCCTCTTCCAGGCAGGTTTGTAACTGTTCCAGTTGTTGTCCACTTTTTTTATTATTTCTCTAACAGTAGAAATCGGCATTTTCAAACAAGTAGCTATTTTTCATACCCATTCCCTGACTTATGAAGGTCAACACACTTCTCCCTCATTTGATCTGTGTTCTCTTATCTTTGCCATGTTGATGGATAACTGAGGGAATTTGGGATCCATGTCACCTCATGTTTGTATCCCTGTTAACCAGGAAAGTCATGGATGACAGCTTGAAGGTTCCTTTTCACTCCAATCAACTCAAAGATGTACAATTTACAGGGGAAACATGCTTCAGTTACATTGTGTTCACTATAATTCCCAGGGGTGCCAATAATCGTGGCACATGTGTTTTTGTTAAAAATAATTATT